CTTTGTTAAATATAGATTTTCTGGAAAATGCAGATTTGAAATTTTCTGTTATCAGATTATTAAGCTGTCTTGTTTGATGATCATGTNACTATTCTGTTCAAAGAGGGTTTGTCTACAAAAGACATGTGGTATTTAGTCTGGTTACCTTAAAAAAAAGGTTGTTTTCTAATAAAAAAATATTGGTATTTAAAACAAGAGACTGAATTCTAACTGAAACAAAGATAATTAAAATTAATTTATCTAAATCTACATTTTTATAAAATTATATATAATTTTCATCCTCAACAAATTGAAGAATAATAAAAGCACAGCTATTGACATGCACTTGCCGAAGAATCGAACATTTTCATTTCTTCACGAAGCATGCGAAAAAAAATCCAACAGAATCTACTTCTTGATCTGGACCAAACCGTTGAACTTTTTTCCTTTCCTCTTCAGTTAAAGACGTTCCGATCCATCCCGGTCCACCAAGACACAAATTTGGTTCCACCAGTTCAAGGCAGTCGAACTTCTTCAGAGCCCAAGCAACCATTCCTTCGTTCTCAGACAATGTTATTGTGCATGTACTGTACACCAAAGTTCCGTTGTGTTTGAGGAGTTGAACAGCCTGTATAACAAAATTTACTTGTTAGAGACAGTTACATCAACATATAGAGGAGTAATAGAGATAGCCAGAAGTCTTTAATACAATTCGCAGCGTTTGCACTACTATCAAAAATATTAATCTTGTCTACATCGATTTAATTAAAACTATTTCTGTCATCGTTCAATCAATGCATTGAAAAACGGAAAATGTATTTTCAGTCTCATATTTCACCGGATAAGTTAAGATATATGTAGTTACTGAAGCAGTTATCAATGTCACATTGAATCATGTAGACGAAGATATTAGTTTTATCAATTTAATTTGTTCTTGTGTTACTTATTGCAACATTTTTTTAATACAAGTACATTTTTTATTTACCTGCTCCAATGATGAAATGAAAACAATTACATCGGGGATGGTAATATATTAGTAGAGATGATTTGATTGTCCAATGTCTGAGGCCTGAAGTATATTACGCCACGGAAGCAAATAGTACAAAAGTGGACTAACCACACTAGGTACTACTCACAGCAACAGACTGGAGTAGTTTCAGAATTTTACAATATTCTTACAGAACAGGCCGATATCAAGCAAAAAGTCAATGAAACCTTTTCCTAAACGGACAGATGGATTCATTTGGGTTAGAACCTCAAGGGTGAGACAAACAGTACTGCCTTCTGGAAGAATGTGTATGACAATTCGTGATCAATAAACCCAAAGACGTACCAACTTGGAGCTATCTGAAGATATCTGAATAGGATGAAACTGCGCAATTCGGTTGTCTCGAATGAAGTTTCAAAGTCATTGGTCGAAATATTTTCCCATATTGTACGGGTACCGAATAACTCAGTGAAAGTCAGAGACTTCGGAAGACCGCTTTCTTTGCGATCAATTTCAGCAGAATCAAAATTAAGGATGAACTGCCAGTGACATTTTTGAATCGGGTATACAACAAGTGAAATGAAATAAATAGAACACTTCTCAGTATCGAATGAAAGTATCTGCATTGTGTACAATATCTGAATAGGCGCTAGATGAAAAAAAATTTAATACCCATATAAACACTGAACTATACAAAAAACACCTTTCTCTAAATGTTTGGAATACAAACTGAGTTTGTATTCCAAACGTTTGTCTACGAAAAAGATATGAAATTTGACCTACTGTCATCCTTGATGGTAAACATTTTTTGAAAGTGCTTTTTCTTTCTTGTAATTTGATGTTTATATGGAAGTTGTGGTTTCTAGAATACTTTTTCTTCCAGTTTGTATTTCAAAGTATTCCATATGCAAGATATACACATCTTTGTAATGAGTTTATTTTGAACTCAACTGTTTTCTTCCTTCCTTTGGAAGTTTCCCACATTTTTTTTTAAAGATGAAGAAGTAAAAGCCAAAAACTTTTATCCCAAGAACCATTAAATATGAAAGGGTTATATTTTTTCGAGTACTACTACATCTTGATACAGAAAAAAGTGAGAATCTTTCAAAGAAAGGAAGGAAGAAATCAATTTTAAAAGAAGTAACTGTAAACATAGATGTGTAGAACATGTAAAGAATTAACTTTCAGACACAAATCTGGAAAAAAAACCTTCTTGACACAGCTTTTTTCATATAAACATTGAATTACATGAAAGAAAAATTCTTTCGAAACAAATACTTTTATATGAACACTGAATTATACAGAAAACACTTTTTTCTACTCAGTTTGTATTCCAAATATGATATCTGATTTAATTTCATAATGAATAGTTGGAATACAAGCTGAATAGAAAAAAGTGTAGAGGAACTGCAGCAAATTTGGAATACTGCAGGTAAGTTGGAATACCGTGGATACCTATTATAAGTCAAATGAAGCTTTTGAGTTTAATAATTTTCTAACCATTTGATGTATTTTTTATTGGGATACGCCATTTTCTTCTCTACTTAGTCCCAAAAAACAAACCAGTATTCCAAATTTGCTGCCGTTTATATGTAAGTATACAGTTACTTCTTTTAAAATTGATTCCTTCCTTTCTTTGGAAGATTCTCACTTTTTTCTGTATCAAGATGGAGTAGTAGAAAGCCAAACACTTTCTTTCTCAAAAAAAACAAAAAAATACTTCTGCATGCAGTGGCGGACCAAAAAAGCATTTTGAGGGGGCCCAGTTTACAAGGGAGGGGTGTATAACCCCTCCATGAAGCACTAAGTCCTTGGAGGTTTTTTATTGATGTTCAGTAGTATGCGTTCAGGAACCAACATTTGAAAAAACCATTGCTTACTTTTGAACATTGTATTACAACTAACTATAAGAAGAATATGTATATTAAAATTACCCTTACCATCATTGCCATTGAGCGAAAAGTTGTTCGGGGTACAAGCATAATGAATTAAAAAGTAGATTATAATGAATATAATCGTTTTTCTGATTGATTCGGCCGTTACTTGATGAAGATCAATAGTAATTTTAAAAAATACACCTCACGATTTGATCATCAAAATAAAATTTGTGAAGATCAAATCGTGAGGTGCAGTTTTTGAAAATGAATATAATTTTGTATACAATCAAGGACAAGTAGCTAGATCTTATTAATGTTCATTGCCTGTTTCTTTCTATTGAAATGATTCCTGTGTGTCTGTGTTTCTATCACCACTTTATATATTCTTGGATAGTAATTATGAGTTTTACCTAGTATTTCTTCATCTTCGAATGAGATAATGGGAGTGCCTTCGTTGAGAGCATGTCCGGCTACGATTTCTCTTGTATTCGTGGTATTTCGTGGTTCCAATGTAGACCGACACGCAGCTTCAAGGAATGCGGTACACCCTGGGTGTTTTGCTCAAAAAACCTATCTTGTGGGTTCTCTAGTATCCTTAGCTGACCTTAGACTCTTTCTAATTGTTTTCGTTGCCCTAAATATTGGTTTCACATCGTGTTCCTCTAAAATTTTCCCAATCTGGGGTTACTTTGGCGTTATCTCTTCTGGGGCGTATGGTCCGCTCGATTTCAACTTCGCTAGACCCATTTCCTTTGAAAGCAGTTTTTGGTGATTGTGTTTCTCAGGGAGACTCTCATGTTGACAAATACGTCGTGCTCTCTTTACCAACGTTTTAATTATCCCTCTCTTTTATTGTGGCTGGTGGTGAAAGTTTTTGTTCGGATACCTGTGTGTGTATGTTGGTTTTCTGTACACTCTATGGCTCACGTACCATCTTCACGTCTGTTCACAAAAACATAAGGACTATAGTCCCTTGGGTTTTTCGCTCTATTGTGAATTGGATTTTTTGGTTGAGAAAGTTTAGATGTAATGAAAAATTGTTCAGTCTCTTCACCACCTTGCCATACCACGAACATGTCATCAACATAACGCAGCCAACAATGTGGTTTCACGGCCGCTTACTCTAAGGCTTGTTGTTCAAAAATTTACATGAAGAAGTTCACCGTCGCCGGGCCTAATAGACGGTCCTTTGTGTTACAATCTGTTTGTTCGTAAAAAACCCCATTCCACTGACAATAAACTGAAGACGAACAATGAGCGAAGAGGGCAGTTTTATCTGCTGGAAAGTCTTTCTTATCAATTTGTTTTGGCGACAGGCTGAGTTAAGGCATGTTTCGTAGAAATTGAAAAAAATCATTGAAATATCACTTCAACTTTTAAAATACGCTGTTTTTCCAAATGTTGAGGAATTCAACATTTCAACAACTCGAAATGAACAAAGTAGGCTGCAAAAAAACAATGGAATGTTGTTTCAGGATCCAGAATATCACTGAGAGTTTTATAAAAATAGGAAAAAGAAGCTTTCCTTCAGCTTTGCAATTCTCAAATATACATCTGCAGTTTTGTCTCATAATTTCTGTAATCGCTATACATTGTGGTCGTACAAAATTATACTTTTTCAAGTCTTGAATGAGACGAGATATCAACTCCACAATAGGAGATTTTCCACATTAACATGTACATGACGTCACTCATTGCAGAGAAAGCGGTGTTGATTTTTCTTCAAATAAAAGCAGGAGTCTTCTGATAACTTGTTTGTTTTTGGGAATCGGCCTTGCTGTTTCAACATTCAGTTGAAACAGCACAATAATATTTTTAAAAACATCATTAACTCGTTCTATCACCTGTTTCAAAGTTATTAGTGTGTCAATTATCTTTTTTTTTTTTTTGTCTTGTCTACCGATGACCTTATTAACTCGTTACGCTTTTTTGATCACCAGTTCATACTGAAGGAAAACACATAAATGTATCGTTAGCCTACAATCTTTAAAAAATAAAATCGAAGTACTGTCAAAAACTATCTGAAAAACATTACATCTTTACAAACTAAAGATTCTTCATCAATCATCAGAAGACGATCTGGGTAGAGGATTGCAATTTCATGGGGCCATTATTACTGATAATAGCAGTAATACCTATTACATTAATTACTCTGGTAATAGTGAAGAATGTACTTTTCTTATAAGGAATAATAAATTGTATATCACAATATAAACATTACAAGATTTAGAATATTATAAGATAAAAGTAATTTATTAGAAAAGTTCAACACTCTGTAGCTTAAAAATAATGCTTTTACGAACACCCTGTATACTTTTTGGTTTTGCCGTTCATATAGAATAATAGCATTATTCTACAAGCATTTACTATTTATACAGAAAAACTGTGGAGCACAAACTGCATACGGAGTTGCCGGGTCGTCACAGGTTTGTCCTTTATCTGCAAAAAAATGGAACACAAATTATTAGAAAAAATATAATTCAAAATTTGGAATTGTTCACTCCTGACACATCAAGAATAAAATGTTTAAGTCTATAGTACTATGATAGCAGATGATTTCACTACATTTATATGTATTAGACATGACCGATTCTCGATGAAAATTCATGATAAATGTATTTTTGTAATCACTGTGATTTTGTTACAAAACGCAAAGCAATAGCTTCTTCAGCTGAACAACGCATGGTATTTCCATTTTCTCTTCGAGTTGTTATACAATCTTTTCAGCAACTCTTGATGTTCATTATCTATAGGGATTCCTTATTTTTTCAAAAATCTAGGGTATGGTCAATTGAGCATTATCATAACAGAAGTTCAATCTTCAAGGTCATTATACTAATAGCTGTCATTCATTAGGTACTCTATTTTCATGTACAGTGTGGCCTCAGCAATTTAGAAAGCCACTATCAGAATCGGTTGACTATGACACTAAAAGTTCCAGGATAAATACTATCTCATATTCACTGAATACCAATCGTCTTGAAAAACTTCACAAGGACTTTCAAAGTTCAACATTTTGTATGCCAAACCAAAGTGAAAAGTTGCCAATCGAATTGACTCCAAATCCAAATGATCAAACTTGTTGCAAGACTACATCACAAGGAACAATACTTTTTGCGCTTCATGGACACCTACCTCAAAAATTTCAAGTTATTTCTCCAAAAATAATATGAATTCCATAAAAATGTTTAGCCGTTTCATCTAATACAAACCTTCGTAGTTCTCTTATCATCAAAATTATTCTGGTATTCTTCCTATAGAAGTATTTCAAAAATCGGATACTTAGTAAATGCTCAAAAACATTTCGATGATTTTTTATAAACTTAAGAATTCAGATAACCTCATAGGGATTTCAAAATCAAATTGAATAGGTTTTATTATGGGCATCCAAGGTTTCTCTATAAAGCGATAATAGTGCAATCGTGCCGTAACATTCAATTTTTACACTTTTCATTTTGTATTGTTTGAAAGACAAACTAACCACAAAGAAACCCTTTTTTGCCAGTTCTGAATTGTAGATTGAAACATACCAATGATTTAAATTTCTATTTTCTATTCCCACAAATCTGGTGGGAATAGTAGTACTACTAAGTGGCCTGTAGTAGTACTACAAATGAATCATAGTTAGAATTATGAAACATATTCTAAGCCCATATGGTTTATTTCGATTATTTTTATTCTTTTCACAGTTAGGTAAACAAATTGACGTAAAGAAGTACTCTTCTTCTTCTGTTCAGTCATAGACTTGTTTTTCCTACCGATTAGAATGAGAAGTGAGGTAGAAACAGAGATATCTACTTTCAGTAATGTCATATTCAGAATCGGTGGGCTCCGTATATATGTTTGACGGAACTGATAAAACAGGTGGTACCATTGCCTGGGTTCTGAGTTGGAATCGATTTCATGAGTGAAACATGAAATTTTGTTCTGCAAAACCACTTGAATCAAATACCACAATTCATTTTAAAGGTAATCGTTGAATATGTGCTCAAAGTAAGTATTCCCTGGTCCAAATGTACAGATGCGGCAGAAGCTGTGTAAGGTAAATTGACAGCACTAGAGAATCATTAGCTGCTAGAGGTTATATCAGATTATGTGAAAATTATTAACTTCACAAAGACTAGGGCTCCAAACAAAAGACTATTCTCCTTAATGTGTGAAGAAATGGGTAGCAAGTTCAAGATTTTACTCCTGCATACAGAAATGAGGTTGTTATGCCGGGGTAGAATTTTGAACCTTTCTGCAAAACCACTTGAATCAAATACCACAATTCATTTTAAATGTAATCGATGAATATGTGCTCAAAGTAGGTATTCCCTGGTCCAAATGTACAGATGCGGCAGAAGCTGTGTAAGGTAGATTGACAGCACTAGAGTGGGTAGCAAGTTCAAGATTTTACTCCTGCATACAGAAGTGAGGTTGTTATGTCGGGGTAGAATTTTGAACCTTCTCTTTGAACTATGATCAGAAGTTTTCATGTTTTTGAGTGAAAAAAATCATGACATGAGAAAATTGTTTACTGGTGAAGAATGGTTGTCAAGATTGGCTTATCTAGCAGACATTTTTAACAAACTCAACAAACTGAACTTGGGACTTCAGGAATCAAACACAACAGCCTTCACAGCCAGTGTCAAAATAAAACAAAAGTTGGTCCTGTGTTGTTCACTAATGTAGGAAGACAATTTTTCTGCATTTTCCACTATAGCATCATTTTTTAAAGAAAATTGATTATCTCCAATCTCAAATGTGGTTGCAGATATCATTGTTCACTTGGATGGCTTTCAAAAAAGCTTTGAGAAGTATTTCTCTGAAGATTATTCAAGAGTAGAGTAGATCAGAAATCCTTTTTCGGGAACCTCACCACATGAATTGGAACTTAAAGAAAGTTTTATCGAAGATAGTTCATTGAAAGATTATCTCAAAAAGAAATCTTTAATTAACTTCTGGGTCGGATGTAAAACCGAATACCCTTTGACTTTCCAGCAATCTCTGCTAATTTTGATGTGTGCTAATTTGTGTGTGACAGTGGATTTTTTGAACTCTTGTGTATAAAAAATTAACATAGAAGCAGAATAAGTGTTGAAGAGAACATCAAACATGAAGTTTTTCATGAGTAAATTTCGGTTTTTTGAAATCTGGTGGTACGCCAAAATTTTTCAATAAGTCAATTGGTACGCAGGTGCACAAGGTTGGGAATCCCTGCTCTAGATCAAGAAACGAGTAAGAAAACGGTGAAGTACTAATCTAACGTTTCTATCAAAATTGTCTTTCAGGATTTTTTTGCTTTCACTTAATACAATGTGTCTCGTTTTTTGAGAATGCATCCCTATTCTTTTTACTATTCAGAATGCAATTCCAAACATATTCAGAAAATTGGTGTAAGTGCAAAATTCTTTCAAATTGGTCAAAGTAAAACTTTTTATTCTCTTACTCAAATTGTTTTACGGGGTTCGTACTTGTATCAAAAATCATTAACCGCATAACGTAACACTTAAATTGCTAAAAGTCATTGCTTATAATGAAAGAGCACCTAGGCTGTAATGATAGAATAGTAGTGGAGTCACATTTTTGGTTTTGAAATATTTTGATTTTCATTACAGCTATGCCATTATCCTATCTCAGTGAATATAGGTACAAGGTACAACATAACAATTATCAGAATAACATTTTGAGTTGCACGAGTTTCTATACCTGATATTGAGTATACTTTTCTATTTCTGATTTATGAACAATCGGAAAAAGATAACAGTAAATATATAGATAACTCTCCAAAATTAATTGCGTCCTCAAAAATATCTGTAATTTTCTATAATTCAACCATGGTTCAATTATTGCACATTGTTGTTGCAGATAGAGAGAATATCATCTATACTAATATATGAAACCAAAACTCACAAATAAAGAATTTGTGGTCCAACGCCAGACAGCGCTGATTTGACCCACCATCAGTGGTGCCAGGCTGAACCATAAATGCATTGCTGAACTCCACTTTCCTTGAAGGACAAGCATTGATGAACCCCATTCTTCTTTGATACTCATGAATTGAGTATTTTATTGATACCATAGATGACGTCTTCGTAAAAGAAGTCATTATCTTTATTAATTACTTAGATAACTCTGTATACTGACTGATAAATTCGCTAAAACACCATAGTAATTTATATGAATTCAAAAAAGAGCTTAAAAGTTTCCTGCAAGTTAACACATTCTGATGCAGTTCCGTTTCGTATACCCCTGCCTGACACGCCTGAAGAAGCTACCGTATAGCGAAACGCATGTTGCGTTTTCGTAAAACTGTTTAGTGAAAATCTTACAATGAAATGTTTCTTGAATACTGCATTAATGAATATTCCAAAGTGCTTCCTGTCATAAGAGACCGTGTGAGCATATGAAAAGTGGTAGGAGATTTACCATTTTGATCCCTAAGGCACAAATGGTACGGTGGATCAAGTACACATGAACAGTGTTTTTGCCATATTTACCAAAACTTCAAATCAATTCCGTATGTCTTGAATATGAAAATACACGTGGAGGATTTGATAAATGTATGTCTATGTGATAATGAAAATAAATGTTGCATGATGGAACAGTGTGAAAAAATGTCCGGCAAAGTGAAATGCAAGAAATTCTTCGTGACCAGGTCAAAATGTCAAAGTTAGCAAGGTGGAAATTAGTTCCTTCTGATGATGAATTTGAGTATTATGGAGAGTATCAAGTTAGGCAGTGGAAGTCTACAGACAGATTTGAATGTAATCTAGTTAGTTCTGAAAATGGTGTAATGACTAAAATTAGTCAACAAATATAAAACTAGAAAATAGACAAAAGTGTGTTTTTATCGTGTATCCTCAGTCTACAGACAGAACTGAAATGGTCATTTGAGTTTCATCTCATTCTGAATTGGTGAAAATCGGAATTTATTCACAAATAGAGAATAAAGGCCAACTTTGAACACGCAAATTTTTCAAACGAGATATCATACAGAGTTCCTATTGTTATCGTTGCATTCCTCAATTTTTTTCACATCACATCTCAAAGAGTAATTTTTTCATTCGTTTCCTCAAGATTCGGAAATTTTTCGAAAAAAATTAAAAATTTCAAGTTAGGAAATTTTGATATTAGTTTTACGTTGGAAATTAGCTCAAACTTGTGTTTCTTGGTTTTTAGTTAGGGTGACCAATTTACATTAGCAAGATATGAACATTTGCTGAGATACTGGGCGTTTCCAAAAAGTTAAAGGACCTAAAAAATTTAATGAACTATACCTTACGATTTGATCACTACAAATTTTATTTGTAGAAATATGTCACGACATGTTTCTACAAATTTTATTTGCAGAAATATGTCACGACATTTTCGCTAACACAGTAGTTAACACTTAATAAATTAAGTAGGTACTATAAGTTTATTCTTGCTCTGATATCTATATACCCTAAGTAATC